ATTTCGTGGCATTTGCTCTATGTATTTAGTAACTAACAAAAATTTGGAAGAAACAATCCCAATAGAAAATGATATTTATCTTCTATTTATAATATTTCATGCTGGAGTGGACACGTTTTGTGCCTTTGGTCATAAGGATCGAAGTTGCACGTTTAATTCCGATACGCACACATGAGAAAGGGCAAGAAAGAAAGGGGATAATTTGGAAAGGGCATTTGAGAAATACTGCCCTTATAAATTGCTTTTGAACAAATGCTACAATTCATTGAACACAGAGGCAGGATTTTGCATTTGGCTAAACAAGGATTAAGGCCTCAATACAAATAGACCTTAGACAATTATTGTAAGCGTAGGAGAATAAACAAAACTGGTACAAATAGGCCTAAGAATATGGTGTTTAGAACGCACCTCCTTGTTTCTGTCGCCTGTTTTGATAAGTCACTGCAATATTGTGCATTGTTTGTTGTGAGAAAAGTGTCCAAGGTTTCGTAGGCCACTTTCTCCAGCAAACACAACTTGCGCACATCTCCAGGAAAGCCGAGACTGATTGAGATTTTTACTGCTATTCATATTCGGCTTTTAGAGTTCTTTATTTTATAAAGCTTTGAGGAATGTTTGATTAGTGACTCGCGCTGCTGCAGACACTGGTGAAGGCGTTGAAGCATGGTTTCTTTGTAAACACTGCACCGCGTGTTTCTGTGATTGCTGCAGAAGTCCATCTTTACTGACAAACGTGTATCGTGGAGAAAGAGAGAGAAGCTATTTGAAACAACTTCCTTGGGATTCCAGGCAAGGTGAGTGGTTACTCTGCCCTTGAATTTATTATTGATAAGGAGCTGTTGAAAAATATTGTGAGATTCAATTATAGATTGTCACACTCAGTGTGTGTGAGTGCGTGTCATGTGTGTTCATGGAAACAGAGATCAATGCCAGAACTTAATTACTCGTCATACGTTGACTTGGCACAAGAGAGCTTAGACAGCAGAAAGCAGAATTAAAGTATGTTTATGCATATATAGAGATATTCATTATGTAAATAGTACGAACAGTGGCAGCAATGAACTGAAACTTTTTAAACATTTTTGAAAGTTATTCCAATTATTGTATTTATTTATTTTATTGTATTTATATTTAATATTTATATTTAATTTCATTTTGAATTAAATTTCAGAGTTAAGTGAAAATGTCAGAAGACTATCAGAGCATGATGAGAGGGCTGGGCGGGCAGGAGAGGCACTGCTGCGTGGATTTACCACAGAGAACTGTCAGCTACAAGCCATGGTTTGCTTCCCCCAACAGCGACCAGCCCGTCCCGCAGACACAACTGAAACCCATCGTAGAAAGAATCACCAAACCCACCGTTGCCAGCAGAGGCGGCGTAGACCTGAAGGACAAAGACTTTGAATACATGAAACCAGTTAACTGGATGAAAAAGACCAATCCAGACTGGAAAATTAAGAATTTGGACACGCGTTTTTGCACACCTCGGCAAGTGTCGAAGGCTGAGTTTCAGGAGATTGTGGACCGTTTGGCCAGATCGACTGCCATCAGTCGCATACGCTCTGCTCCACCACGGTTGTCATGGTACCCAATTAATCTAGAGAAGGGTCCGGTGGAGAAGCCGTATTTTCTGTCCCAGAAATTACGCAGTGATGGTCTGTACTGGGATCCCAACGAGTCCGAGAGCAGATAAGAATCTGTTATCATTTTAGTGGAAATATTTACAAATCAGTGGTATTTTTTGTCTTTTTTTTTTGATAATTTTATGCAAAAGTTTACTTTTAAAATAGACATTGAAATAATAAAATTAAAAATTTTAATCCATTTAAAGCATGACAATTTCATTTGTCAAAGGCAACGTAAGGTTACTTTTATCAGTAAATATAATAAAATGATTAATCAACACATTTTTAATCAAAGAAGTTATGGTATATAAGAGCATAATCAACTTGATTGAACATTCTTTTTTTTCTTTGTAAAGAATGTATCTGTCTGCCTAAGAACAGCTGACCACATGCTCAAACAGAGTTGAAAGATCAAAAGTGGTAGAAGTGCAAAATTTTTATTAAAAAAAAATCTGTGTCATATTTTCAAAAAAATCAACAAGATTGAATTTTAAATAAGTGTGAAAAAGTAAAGTTCTTGGATTTAGAGTGTTCATTTTGTATAAAATGTTTGTCCATTTAAAAATAGTTGATATATCTCTGGCATTCAGTGGTATATGAAACAATTGCAGTGACAATCAAGAAAGTTGGTTAAAAGTAAGAGTATTAGTAATTTACTGATGGTTTGTTAATGTACATAGTATCGTATTAGAGATACTTCTGTCAAATATATTTGAATGAATAACAGATTGTAAAAAAAATTGAACTGTCCTTATCACTTGTATTAATTCACATTCACCTTGTTGATAAAGTTTGTGATCACATCATTGCAAATTATTATTGATATATTATTTTGATATTTTGAAATCAAGTAATATTTTTCTGGTTTATATTGATCCAGGTATTGGTTAGATATTGCCTTAACAACATTTTATGAATTCAGGGAATCTGACTTTTTAACTCAGTACACCATTTTTGCTCAAGTGATAAGTAATTGAACATGTAATTAGGTGTATTAAAAACTTTTCGAAATAAAGTGAAATTTTAACAGAACATTTATGAATTTTGCAATATATATATTTTTTCACTGCTTGCCCTAGCTAGGTGTTGTTATTTGGTAGCATTTGTGTAGAAATCCAATCTGTATTGTTGTATGCAAAACTGATTTAAGTAACAAATGAAGAGAAAATATCTCTTTGCTGAATATCAACAAAATAAGATGTAAAAAAGTGACTCTTTTATCTGAAATTGTTTTCAGGCCATGAAGAAATAAACAAGAAATTGTCCTAGCAGGTGTTTGAAAACAGCGGCAGGTGTCACCTTGGATTTTAGAAAGACAAAACACAAAATTACACAAAAAAAGTTCCTTAGAAATCTGTCACAATACTCGGGTCAGAGAAGGTCGCAGGCAAGTTACAGCACCGCCTGGAGCTAAATTTGCAAAATAGCTCTACTGACGCTGCCGTAAATTCTCACCAAACTCCTTTCATCCACCAAGAGTCACCCGGCTTCCTCTGTTATATTGATTTATTTACAATGTATTTCATGATATTTACATTTCGATATCTAAAGGTTTGAATAAAGTGCTTTATGTTTTCAAAATGACTTAACCACCAGCTGCTGATTTTGATGGGGTTTAATTCTTGAATAATGTTTGAATATTAAGTGGGAGGGAGTTACTTTAGTTTAACTCTCTGCCTTGTGCTTACTGATACTACAGTAAGGGTTCTGGAGTTTTAAAATACCAGATGATGAAGGACTCTGGCTTCTTATACCCATCAGTTTCATTCAGATTTCATTGTAGAAGAATCTGTCCACAGTTTTTTCATCAAAATATAAAAATTGATTGATAAATTTTACCAGTTTTATAATATTGAGAAGATTTTTAAATGAAAATGCAGTATAAGTTTACAAGATTGTTTGTTCAGTGAATTTTTCTATCAGGAAATCTCAATTATCTAAGTAGAAAAAGTGCTTCCGCAGTAGATATCACTCTATAAATGTATAAGTTGTCTTCTTAACAGAGGTAAATATCTCCAGGTTTACTCAATAAAGGGATCCTGCTTAACTTGCCACTATATAATCTCTTACAGGTTGCACCTCTTTTCTTTCCTTCATTTGCCAATTACACTGCTAAGCCTTTAACGGGTGCACTGCTTTTCTTCCTCCCCCTCGTCAGTTACGTACCTAATCCCTTAACGGGTTGGAAGGCATTGTGTTATAGTTGTTGATCACTATGAGAGAGTCTTGAAGTTTGGCTAGACCAACACAGCTAATCCCTTAATGGTTTAATGGGCAATTGTTGCACACCACGCCACATGCAAGATGGCTGCCTAAATGTTTGTAGAAATTATTTGCCGAATAATAGCTTTATGTAGAAGTTGAGTAACTTTCGATAACTTTGATGAAAGATGCTGGGAAGCGATACAAGTACTTGAACAACTTGATTGTTTGAAAAGTTGATTTGGAAAGAATGCTGTTCAGAATCGAGTGATTTAATCGACGATTATCGCAAGTGCTTCGCAAATACCATTATCGATAGAGTTGTATGAGAATTTGTGTTGCGACATCCCGCAGGGCATGTCGTGGTGGTGTTTGTTGTAAATTATAATATTATCGAGCCCTTACTGAATAAAGAGATCACGAAGGTCGTTAGTTAACAAAGCTGTTGAATTTAATACGATTTAATCAGGAATGATTACGAGTACGATTTTGCAAACAAGATTATTTATTCAAGTGTTAGGGGCGTACATGAGGCTGTTGTATCGTAATAAGCCCACGGGGCTCCTGTATTTTAAGCATAGAAATTGGGACAAAATAAACGGTTTCTGCCATTACGCGAAGTGCAACCTTGAACAAAGCGGTCACAGTATTTTGGCAGTACAGGCCGGGTTCGATGTCGCTGTATCCCCCAGGCTATGTACACAATTTCACATTTGTAAATACACAAATTATGAATCGTAAAGAGCGAAACAATGTGGTTAATAAGCTAAAGGAATGCACTCCCGTGTTAGCCTTTTTCAAATTTACGAAAAAATCTTTACTAAATTTGTTCTCAAGATACCAGCAACTTTATATAATTTTTTTCTGTCTGCGCGGGAGGCTTACCGCCATGGCATGAAAGGCACCTTGCGCAAATGGTTTATGTTTGTCGTAAGAAGGTCCCTTCAGGGTCACTGGTTACTTTGTCTGCTAACGGCAGAGTCAGATTTCAGATGAACGAGAAGAAATGTGTCAACTTGATGCCAGCCTATCCAATGTTTGAGAGAAAATCAGAAAATAAAAGAAACGTAAGATTCGAGTATGTCCAATATGGCGGCTGCTGTCTCTGTTTAATGAATCATGAAAGCGATTATCGTTAAAATTTACTTAGCCGAAGCTAACTTGGATACCGGTCATTCTTTGGACAGTTATCCAATCAAAAAGTTGACACGATAGAAACATATATATATCGCTATGTTTATATAAGTCTTTGTGCCTATGTAAGCAAAACGAAATGAATTAATTTCTTAAATTTTAGAAAATGTGGTAGCAAGTATCATTTAGGGAGGGAAGAAGGGAAACTCTTTTGAAAAATTCAGCTTCGTGTGCGATTATTTTTTTCAAGACTGAATATTTGTTATGTTCTCTTATGTTACAATGTGGGGTGAATGTTTGGAGCATAAGCTAAGAACTTTTTTGCAGGTTTGAATAGCTTTTGAAAATTTCAAACAATAAGGCTAAAAACTTTGACAAGCTGTACTTGTTATTTTGGCAAACAACATGAAGGTTTGCTGTAACCAGTAGAAAAAGTACCCAAATGACCTTAAGAAATATATGATAAAACAGTCTTATTTTATGTAGAAGTTTGCAAATAATAATTTTTTTTACCCGTTTAAGTCTCATTCTCATGTATATGTATGTTAATAGATATTTTTTCCTTTATTTTATTTTTATTATTTAAAAATAAAGTATTTATTATCGTTATATTTTTATATTATTTAAAAGCAAGTTGTGTAGATACAAAATTATCAGATAATGTACTGAGAAAATCTACTTTGTGTGACCACTGCTTTAATTTAATATATAGAACCTTTACAGGGGCTGTAAAACTTCAGAACAAATGAAGGTGATTTTCTGGTATTGACTCACAGCACTTTGACTACCCGGGGGTATTGGGAACTCTTAATGTATTATGGTAAAGGAGGCTTTTAGTCGCCAAGGTGTTATGGTTGTAAACTCTCTTGGTAAAAGGTCGAAAGTGCTTGAGGAAGTTTAAATCTGTGTCACGAAGAGGACTTTATATGTGTTACTAAACATGGCTGAATTGGGATAGGATAATCTGGTAAATACTCAGCCAAATTACAAGATGAAAACTCGCAATAAAATTCTCATGTATTATTTTCTTTGCTGATCAGAGGGAAAATTCATGTTTGCAGTGCTCGTTCAATAAATGTTGAACTTATGATAAAGTCTTCTTGAAGTTTTATTGTATTTATAAATCAAGTTGCAGTTTACTGTTAAGCTTAGCTTTAGGGATGAAATCAAGTTGCAGTTTACTGTTAAGCTTAGCTTTAGGGATGAAGTAAATGGATATTGTGAAAATATTTTTAAAAGATTATATTCTCTACTCTTATTCTTGTGTATCTGAGTTTTCTCATGAATAATTGATGCTTCGAAAAAAAATAAAATAAAATAAAGAATAAATATTAGGCAGGCAGCAGATTTTCCATATCTACCAAATTCAGAATATTATAAACATTGTCAACAATTTATTTCTTTGCTTTCAAGTGTCAGTCTGAACTCAAGTTTTTAAAAATTTCATACTTTACATTTACATGTAGTGCCAAATATATTTATTTATTTATCAATATATTTATATTAGAGGTCTTCTTCTTCTTCTTCTTCTTCTTATTATTATTAAATTGAAATAATAGTTGAGTTAAGAACAGGGATCCACACTGACAGTAATATATATTAGCACAGAAAATTAAATCATCTATGTCTAGTATATAACCTTCCTTGACACTGGTTCACTATAGCCATTGGTGTAAGTGGCTGTATTATACATTATAGGGGTGTCTGGGAGAAATAAAATTGCTATCTGTATTCTTACGTCTTATATTTGAACACTCTTATTGCACCAAGTTATTAATTTTCTCAGTCAACTGAAGCAGGAATTTATTGTGCTTATACTTTGGTCCACAAGGTAATATGCCTTATCTTTTGACTGGAGGTGTTTGAACAAACCATAGACTTTATTGACAGTGTGATAATTGGTTTGATCTGCTGGTCCACTGGTAGCTTGTCATTGCTGTTTGACTTAATGATGTTTTGATGAATTGTAACCTCACCCCCCCCCCCTCCATGCCTCATATGCTTATTGTCTGGTGTGTCATTTTTACATAAAATGAGGATGATACTTTTTTTCTAGTATACATGTATGAACCAAGTACATTAGCTGCTCAGTGCTTTAGCACTTAATATTTTTTGGAAGCTTATGAATACAGCATTTTTTTCAGGTGTTTTTATTACATTTTCATGACATTTTATTAACAGGTAAGAAGAGCGTCCTGACATTTATAGCAGGAGGTCAGAATTTTCTTGGTAGTTATTTTTATATTAAAAAACAAGTAACATGATACCAGACTGTTTCCAGTGTGGTTATTTTGATAAGTTCGTCAACCTGGATGGAGGTCTGTCAGTATATGTCAAATAAGATCTCTGTCTCTGTGGTAACAGTGTGTTATTTCCTTTTTTATTATAGAGAGCTAATTTGGTCGGCAAGATGGGAGGCTATCCAATACTTTGTTCATTTTACAATGACACTTTTAATTTTTGTCAATATCTGTTTTGTGTGGAACGTCAGGGGGCATGTGTCAGTGAACTTTGAATCATTTCTGTTTCTGTCTAAAATATTGATCTATGGATATTTAAAAGTACTTATACTTATGAATAATTTGAAAAGAAGGGAGTGAATGATTTCTCTCTCTGACAGACTTAATGTTTTCTTAATTAAAAGACCATAGTTCTTTGTAGACTTTTTATCTCTATAACAACTTCTCCAGTATTGATCTGTTGATGGAAATAGAGAAACTGCTAGTGTACCCTGGTGGCCATAGAACTAACTATCTATTAGATCCATCCTGTTTTTATTCCAGGAATTCCAGACTATATATCAACAGTTCTTTCCTCATGGGGACCCCAGCAAATTTGCCAATTTTGTCTTCAATGTGTTTGATGCAAATAAGGTAAAGGGTTGATATGGATTACTGTAAGAAGTACAAGTGGGTGTGGTATTGCTTATTCTCTATTTTAAAAAAAGTTGGGTTAGTTCTATATAATTTTACCATTTACATACAACTACTTCAATTTCTCAGAGGACGTGTGTGTTGCAAGAGTTGCCTATTCTCTGTATAAAAAAACAAAGTTTGGCGAATTTTACATAATTTTACCATCAACATACTGCTATTTTAATTTCTATCAGATACAAGTCTAAAGTAACATTTACAAAATAAACACAAATTGTAGCCTTGATTCATACTTCGCATTATTTTTTGCTTAATAAAATCTGTACCACAAATGTTTTAATTATTTTGCGAAACTGTTACCAAGCTAAACTTCACTATTCAGATAATCTTCCACATTTTGCAGATGAATTTACCATTAACTTACTACTATTTTAATTTCTCTCAGATAAAAAAGTTTAAAGTTACATTACAAAATAAGCACAAATTGTGGCCAAGCTAAATTTCACTATTTAGATAATCTTGTACATTTTGCAGATTACAGAATATCTGTTGGGTAATTAATATCTATAAAGAATTTTATATTAAGAGAGAAAATTATTTCTACTCTCATTATATTTTTCAGGATGGTCACATCAATTTTAAAGAATTTATCTGTGCCTTGTCAGTGACTTCTAGAGGTACTCTGGATGAGAAACTGGACTGTAAGTAATCTTTGTACTTGATAACAGTTTTAGATCCATATAGGGGACATATTGAACTTATTGTGTACTAGAAAGACTGCTTTGCTTTTAAACTTTTTAAAAAATAGCCGTGAAATGAAATGGGGGAGAAATGTATTTGTAAATAAGAGGACATGTACAGTCATTGCCTAAAAAATGCTAAATATAATTTTGACTCTCATGGGACTCTCGGTCCTTGTAGTAGGAGCAATTTGAGCTTCAGCGGACAGTGGATGATGGTTAGATGTTGATGATGGGGTGGGGGGTG